CATAGTTACTTGGAAATGAATCATGCACCAAAAACTTTAACCTGTTCACTCAACCGGAAAATGTAGGTCAGATTCAGCATCTGAAGCAAGCCTGGTAGTATGCATCCTTAGATGTATCATCCATGCAAGTTAAATTCATAGGGCTCATAGTATATTAAAATTGAGACCTGCACCAAAAACTTTAACCTGTTCACTCAATCGGAAAATGTAGGTCAGATTCAGCACCCGAAGCAAGCCTGGTAGTATGCATCCTTAGATGTATCATCCATGCAAGTTTGGTCAACATAGGGCTTATAGTTACTTGGAAATGAAATCTGCACAAAAAACTTTAACCTGTTCACTCAACCGGAAAATGTAGTTCAGATTCAGCATCCGAGGCAAGCCTGGTAGTATGCATCCTTAGATGTATCATCCACACAAGTTTGGTCATTATAGTGCTCATAGTTACTTGGAAATGAGACCTGCACCAAAAACTTTAACCTGTTCACTCAACCGAAAAATGTAGGTCAGATTCAGCATCCGAAGCAAGCCTGGTAGTATGCATCCTTAGATGTATCATCCATGCAAGTTTGGTCATTATAGTGCTCATAGTTACTTGGAAATGAGACCTTCACCAAAAACTTTAACCTGTTCACTCAACCAGAAAATGTAGGTCAGATTCAGCATCCGAAGCAACCCTGGAAATGTGCATCCTTAGATGCACCATCCATGCAAGTTTGGTCAACATAGGGCTTATAGTTACTTGGAAATGAGACCTGCACCAAAAACTTTAACCTGTTCACTCAACCGGAAAATGTAGGTCAGATTCAGCATCCGAAGCAAGCCTGGTAGTGTGCATCCTTAGATGTATCATCCATGCAAGTTTGGTCAACATAGGTCTTACAGTTACTTGGAAATGAGACCTACACCAAAAAGTGCACCAAAAATGTTAACCTGCTCCAAAAACATAAACCTGGTCATTCCTCTGCTGAAATTGCAGCATCTGAAACTTTGACTGGTACAATGAAACACACTAGAAGCATCTTCCATGCATGTCTAATCAATATAGGACATAGAAGTACTTAAAAAGAAAACTGCTCCAAAAAACTTAACCTGGGACGCCGACACCGACACCGACGCCGACGCCGACACCGAGGGTATTACATAAGCTCCCCCAACTTCGTTGAGGTGAGCTAAAAAAGGAGGCAAAAATTAATGTAGAAAAGTCGATAATGTATTCAAAATATAATTTTATTTTTTTTTTATTTCCTCCTCCTACGGGACTTTTTCATTCTGATGTTCGTAAACCTAAAAATAAAAAAATGCTGGCCTTACTGGTAAAACTTATTGATCAGAAGTATTGTTCTCATGTAAATACTTATAAATTTGAGAAAATTATGTCCATCACAAATGTTGACTCACTGCTAAAACTGTCTTTGTTTGCTAAAAAGATATTGGCCTGCTTCTAGTAGCATTATTTTCTATAATTGACACTACTCTTCCTTACTTGACTTTGTATTTTGTATATATGTAAATATGTTCCTGTACCTCACTTACCATTGTATGGTCTGAGTGTAATAAAACAAACAAAGCAAGCTTAATCGCCATGCTTGATTGCATTGTTTATCTCGAGGCGATAGATGATTGACACGCCAAGAAAACAAACTTTGAAGGTGCTAATGATAAAGAATCAGGAAACAACTACCGGGGTAACAATAGTTTATTCAAATTATAATTTGGTAGAACTTTCTCGATCGATCCTACCATGTGCAGTGCTAGTGCGTTTATAAAATCCAACGACCCTTCAACATTAAGTAATCGCGCGTTCCGGTTTACATGCACTTATGTAAAAGCTTTGAACACACACAAAAAATAATATTAAGAAATCTGTTAGCGCACAATAAATTTTACCGTTCTGGGGCTCTTTCGCCAAAGGCGCTAAAATTAGTAACGCGCCAAATATTCTCGTTATAGTAAGTGTTTTATTGTAGTCGGTATCTTAATATTTACAGCCATTTATTTTTCTAAAATTGATCGTTTTAATATCAATTCAAACAAATCATAATTATACACTTTTTTAAAAAAAGTTAAACATTCTATATGCAATAAATACAGAATACATCATTTCTTTGTGATAATCGTTTAATTCATTTCATCTAAATTATTTGAATATTTACATAATTTTATCAGTCTATACAATTTTTTTTAACTATCCTAATTTTCATTTATATGTAAATATTTGCGTTATGATGTGGACATAAATTTATAATTTTAGCAAACCATGTTACAATATAATATATGAATTTCATGACTGAAATCATCATTGCTCTGTGATTTCCTTGGTCATTATAGGTCTTTAAGCACACTTTGATTTGAAGTAGGCCATTGCTCTTTGAATTCTTTGGTCGTCATAAGTTTTTCAAGAGCACTTTGATTTGAAATAGATACAGTGGACCTTCAGATATCCGGACGCCAGATATCCGGATGCTTCAGTATCCGGACGATTTTTCATCGGAACGAAATTCTAAAATGTTATTCTGTCTTGTTTAACTGGTGATTCAGATATCTGGATGCTTCACATATCCAGACAAATTGACTGGGAACCGAAATGTCCGGATAAATGAGGGTCCACTGTATTTGCAAAATAAAAAATTTACTGTTTCTTTTACAATGTTTTTTGAGAAAAATATTATAGCATATACCTCTTAGATGTACAATATAAGCACACTTTTTAAATGCATGTATTCACACTGAAACTTCAAAATATTTTACATCAAAGGTTATTAACAAAAATATCCAAGAAAAAATATGATTACTGGAGGATCGCCTTGGTTAAATTAACGATAATCAAGTTATAATATTCATGTATGTAGTAAACTATAAAGTCTGCATTTTATAATGACATTTGCCAAGGATTGGGCGAGGTCATTGAACCTCAACAGGATATACATTTACAATAAAATGCCAATGGCCCATGAAAAATTACTGTACAAAGTTAGTGACTAGAGTGACAAACACATGACGTACATGTATTAAATGCAAAAATATGTGTACTACACAGCTACATTTATACAAAGATCCCATAAAATCAACAGTTGCTATGTTCCCCCAATGTGCGTGCCAAAGATCCCAATTGTGGAAGATCCCAAACTTCTGACATGTGCTAGAATCACTTCCTCACAGATATCTCATGAAATTTGCAATAGAGGGTTGACAGATAATTGGCGTCATGAACGGAGTCACTTTTAGTACGAAGGCTCAGCAAGTTCTATGTTGATCATTCCAACAGACACTTCAGACTTTCCTTGCACAATTTCTGAAAGAGGAGATGACTTTTAAGATGTATCATTATTGATATCCATATAAATATATGACAAATAATAAACTAAAGCTCTACAAAACAATTGGTTTTTTTCTACCTGGAAGATAAGTTTACTGTAGAATATGAATTCACTATCTAGCAATGCTTTGTTCAAATTAAGATTAATTCTGATAAATGTAAAAATGTGAAAAGTTTATACACAACAGACTGTGACACTGATCAAAAAACTCACTGGCTCAGGTGAGCTAAAATGAAAAGGCTAGAGCTGAAGCTCAATGCCTGACTAACATTAAAAAAATTAATTTCCATTCATGTTATTTTATTGATTAAGAAAATAATGAAGAAATCTTGCGGTTTTTTTTTCATACAGCTATTGTCCGAAATCTTGTGAGCATCCGGATTCCTGTAAAATGCATGCATACTTCATAGAAGATAATAGCTATTTGATCTAAAATAATTGTACATACCCGTGTAGTTATCAAAACATGCAAGATAAGAGCAGAAAAGGTCATGAACATGCCTTATTATTCTTCAGATTTATACAGTTAATCTGATTGGTTTAGAGCTGGTCACGTGCAGGGAGACACTCATGATGTCTCCCTAAAGTGCAGGGTGATAAGTGTTATCTCCCTTCAGATGACAATGAAATAGCGCAAGCGAGCATGCAGGGTTAAATGTGTTGTCCCTCTTTGAATAAAACTACAGTAGTTTAAGCGAGATAACTCCTATTTATAAGTACAATCACTATGGCTAAATATGCGGGATCGGTAAACAATAAATTCGAACGATGACGTCAAAGTTGCCTGTTGACATATTTTGAAAGTATGGAATCGGTCTGTGAGTGAGCAGAGTAGAAGAAAATAAGAGGTTTGATTACTATTTTCTACTCTATCTAAATGATAATAGTATATTCTTCAGGATAATAAAACTATTATGGACCGTTTAGAAGGGAGACATCACCAATTTTCAGGTCTGAGTAGGGTTGTTACCTGAGGGCACAAGCGCAAAAATTTCTGGTTCACCCAATGGCACCGGACCGACACCAATATTGCCTTACTCAGGCTCGTAGTGTCAGTCGCGAAGCTAAGTCCAATCTCAAAGTGGTCAGCCTCTGACAACAGAAGATACTGAATTGTCCTTTTTCAGGACGAACAGTCATCCACTGCTATCAGAGACTTGCACTATCTTAAAAGCTTACCAGGTAAGCCCCAGGGGGTTGACTTTCCTCTAAATGGGTAGTCAAACAATAATACAATCTATTTATTGTGGCAAGCCTTCGTCGTCAGGCAATCCACCCAGTATTGTTATATAGTTGTGGCAAGCCTCAATATTAGGCAATCCACCCAACTAACCTTATATCCTAAAATTCAGTCTTCTTCCCTCTGCTACTTGGACTCAAAGAACCCTACTGCTTAGCTGCGCTTGTTTATATACCTTGGTTTAAATAAGACCACATGATCAGCTTCAGCCTATCACAGATCCTCAAGGGCCGACTTGCATATTTGGAATACACAAACCCATTTATTGTTACATTTACATCAGTTCGATTCCAAACAAGGAAATTCGGGTTAAAATCCATGATCTTAATGATATGTTTAGATTTATTAAATAATTATTACAGAAATGGTGCTTGTCGTAACGATTTCACCGTCGGGCATTTTATGTATGGTGCCCGGATTAATCAAAAGTAGGCTTGCCAAGCAGGTTTTAAAATGAAATTCTGGGATCAAAATCATTACATATTTCTGTTCTGGTACCTTTTAATAAACTAAAAATGCATTGCATTTGAAAATTTCCAACATCCATGATTTTTAAAAAATAATTGAATTTTGCCATTTTTATGCCTACAATTCTATTTTTAGAAGCAAAATGTCACCTTCATTTTCACAACTTTCCACAACTGAGAAAAATTTTTTTTTGGTACAAAACTCAAGCCAAATCATCAAATAACAAGATGCAATGTGAATTTTTCAACAAAAACTTTTATTTTTTAATTAACAAATTAATCATTATGAACGGCTGGTCTGGCCGTCAGGTCTCTGCCATTTACTCGTTGTTTTGCCCGGTGTCTGAAAATAAAAATATTTTTTTTATTTAGATGCTATTATAAGTCAATTAATACACAGGAAAACTCAACAAGACTTTAAAAATTGTTACCTTCCAAAATTAACAGGGAACAGTTAACAGTATCAATGTTGTATGTAGTACATGTACCATGCGAGTTCCATAACACCTACTTGCATGTCTGAAATAAAGCACAAGAATAAAGCTACATATAAACCTTTCAAATAACTTAAATAAGTTAAAAGACTTTAATGAGTTAAAAAATTTAAACATTATATACCGGTATTTATACATGTATATATATATAATTATATGAATATATGAGTTCTGCTTTAGTGAAATTAAAATGGTTAATTGCTCTTTGTTTCAGTGATGAAGTGTAAATGCAGTTGTTATTTAACATCCAACACCAACAAAAAAAATTGAATTCAGAATTGAAAAAAAAATAATGGCAACAACTTTCAAAAACAAAACAAACTTGGCATGCCTGCAACTTCCAACAGTACCTGATCAAAGTGAAACAGTAAACAGTAAAAGAAAAATGTTAGTACTCCAACAAATAAAGTAGCAACTTGAACATCATCCTAATTTCCCAAAAGTTGTAACAGCAGAAATACAACTGGAATGCCATGCATTCAACTGATACCTCCGGAATAATCTCTAGATCACCCTTTTTATAATCATCCAAAAGTTTATAAGTGTACACACACTCAGTAATTCCATCTTCTGCCACATCATTATCATATACAATGTTATAGAAGTTCACAAAACCTGGGACAACACTTATAACTCTTCTTATGTACATAGGATATGAAAATTTGTGTTTCACCCTATTTACAACCAGTAATGGTGTTTCTGTCCTTTGCGGTTCTGTATCTGGGCCACGATAAGCAGCATCTATAAGTTTTATCAAGTTTTCTTTTAACACAGAAATAGGATGTTTTTTACCTTTTGAACTAAACTTAAAAACCTCTTTGTTTTCATGTTTTTGTCTCAACATCTTTTGTCTAAAGCGAAGTTGTGCCTGCAGTGCCTTCAGTTGTTCCTTCTCATTGGCAATCTCTGCAAGTGCAGCATCAACTCTTTCCCTTGACTGCCAAAGCCCATAATATGCTATTTCATTAGTTTGTTTTTCTCGCTTTGCTAGTAGATTTTGCTCCTTTTTAGCAAGGGCAGTCTTTTTCTCTTCTAGGATCTGTCTTCGTTTTTCAATGATGGCATTACATCGGTCTTTAAATTGTGTTCTGAGTTCTCTTCCTTCCGAAATACTGTCAGTTATCATCTTGTTCTTCTCATCCTCTGGTAACGAGTCTAACCATTCGGCTGTTTTGTTAAAAGAGAACATTATGAATGCCTCATTTGTTATGGTTGATGCATTTGGACGAAAACTTATAAAGTTGTCCAACATTCCAAATACTCTCTCGCTCATTTTATTGTGTGGAACAACAGATTTGCTTTGCATTCTCAGTTTCTCTGAAGGGTTACTGTATGTTCCACCTGGTAAATGTTCCTTTAATGCATTTGAAACAAGTTTGTGGAAACCACAAAACAGCAACTGGGCAAGCTGGATTGCAAAATGATCAACTTCAGCATTTGGTTCCACAAGTTTCTCATACAGTTTGTCTTTTTCAATTAAACTCTCTTCGAATGGAAACTCGTCACCGGAAACAAATCCTGATGCATCCTTGCTCTGTCTTTCCAGGTATACAGTCAGACTTTCAAAATATGTGTTAAGGTCTAAGATATTTAGATTCTTTTCAATAATTCTCCAAAAGGGGGCTGTGATCAATTTTGATATCATTCCCAACACTTTACAGGCAGCAAGATAAACTGAATTCTGAATTAAATGAGCAATTATTTTGTGAAGATTGTTTGTTATTCCATGAACAGCTTTTAGAAATGTGCTGATGGTCTCTCTGTGGTAGTAAACTATTTCCGCAATAAAGAAAATGACGTTGAATCTGTTTCCACGAAATGGGATAAACAGTACTTTCTCATTCCTTGAACTACAATAAACTTTAAATTCTGCATATGTACCACATTTTTCATCACCTCCACAAGAAAAACATTTTGAGCAGCATCTCATTAAAGTCATTGTTCTTGCCTCGCTAGTTGAAAGGTAACATTCGCTTTCCTGATCTGTTTCAGAATCATCAACAATATTTGATTCAGAATTTGTATGTACAGCTTCAAACTTCTTGAGAATGGGTGATGTACACTCTGCCATATTTACTAGCAGATGTAGTGCACAAAAGAAATTATTAACTTTGCTGCATACGAGCTTTTGGTCATCACTTAAGTTTTCCCAGTCTTTTTCAATTTTTGAAAGTATTTCTGTTTAATACTGTTGTAAAAGTTCTGTGAAAGATATATTTACTTTTGCCCTATCAGACATGAAACTTTGTATGTTGCTTATGATAGCATGGCCAACTGATACATCTTCATTGATTATCATTTCCTCACAGGCATTGGATATGTCATTGAGGATTTCTTTGAAAGTGTCCATAGTCGTTGATGCTGCTTTATTATGCATGTCTCTTAACCCAAGAAAAAAACTTCTTTCTCTTCATTGCTAGCAAGGAATGTTTGGTAAGTTTTCCCTTTCTTTCTTGTTTCGTCTTCATACAAACAAAGGTTTTTCTTTTGTCCAAGCTTCATACCAATTTGCTTTTGTCCAATAGCAACTTTTTCACACACAATGTTGTCTACTGTTTGTCTCGATGGCAATTTATTAGCAGCTTTGTTAGCTAGCCCTAAAACAGTTTCAATAACAGGTGGAATGTTTCTTGTCGCAACATTAAGAGATGTCAATTTCATGATGCATTCTCTAACTTTAGGTGTGTATGAACCAGAATCTTCATCGAACATTTTCATTTCAACATCATCATCTAACAAATTCAGGAGGTAATCTCTTTCTTGCTCCAATGATCTAACATTATTTTTTAACTTCAATATTTCATTTTCCGAGTTATCATGTTTTCCTGATTTTATCTCTTGTGGTTCTGATTGTATTTTTTTAAGCTCATTTTGCATTATTTTGTACTCTGATTTTAAAGAAATCAGCTCCTTAGATTTCTCCTCATTTTTCTTGACCAAATCTCTCTCAAGTTTTGGATATTTTTTGGCAGTAACTATTTTCATTTCATCTCTTTTTCTTTTCCTTTTGAGAAGCAAGTTCTCATACCTGAGTTTTTTTGTTTTGATTTTCCACACATCAATCTCCTTTTTCAATTTTTTTTCTCTATCTGTCATTTGTTTTAAGGTCTCTGCCTGGAGTCGTTTAGATGTATCTATTTGTTCTTCAAAAAAAAGTTCTCTATTCTTAATTTCAATTCGTTGTTCTTTTAAATTTTTTTCAATGGACTTTACTGCCATATTAGCAGCCTCTGTCTCAAATGATTCCACTACTGACTTCTTAACACTACCTGCATTTGTAGTACCTACTGGAATTTCAAACTGTAATGCTTCAAATTCTGTTTTGTATTTTCCTTTCTTCTTTTTTAAATTCTCATTCGTTCGTCTCAATTTCCTAATTAATGCATCTGAATTAATAGTTTCATTCTCTGCCACATACACTTGAAAAAACTGATCTATTTTACAAAGAGGAATACTGTCCTGCTTAATTTTTTCAAAAAGGTCTAAAGCTTCTCTGTTGTTAAGGGGCATTTTGTTTTTACTGAGGGTGAGTTAACAAATAGCGTCAAAGTCATCTAAAACAGTCATTCCTTCTTTTTCAAGTATGACTCGATTTATTTCATAGATACTCTCTGGAATGTCAGTGAAACCAATTTGTTTTCGTTTCCTTCTAAAAAATATATCTTCTGCTAACACCTCAATGAAGGTTTCTAAATAGTCACTTGTTTCATGGAGATAGTCTTCGATTTTGTTCTCAAATATTTCCCTTACTTTCATGTAGGTGTTCTCCTCATCATGCTCATATACTTCCTTGGCAAATTTTTTTAAAAGGGTAAGTAATTTCCTGCCATAAACTGAACAACTTTCACTTGCTAACCGACCATCCAGGATTTTTTTAACATAGTAATACTGATGATATGAGTATCCAATTCTCCTGTTTTCAATTATTTGATACAGATTGAGATTCTTGTTTATATGCCTTGACGTATTTTTGATCTGTAGAAAATTGGGAATAAATGCTATTACAATACTTAAAACACCTACCATGATGATCATGCATCATTTAATTTACTCATCGTCTGACGGTCTCATGAATTTAACATATACATGCAGTATAACGTGATTTCGAATTTTCTCTGTTGTCATTTTTGTAAAACCATGTAATATTCATTTAAGCCAATCTATACTATTACAGTTTTTTTAGCATGAAAAACAAGTTCAGATACTTCAATATAAACATATTAGAAATATTTTGGAAGTGAATAAAGGCTGAAATGATTGCGAAAATGCTGCTTGCAATGGGAGCCGCCATTGCTGAACGAAAACGAGGCCATGAACAGTCCACTTAATTTTTCGTTAAAATACAGATATTGTCTTGCGTTTTTCATCTGTTTTTTATTATAAATAGCAAGAAGAAGCATTAAATGTTTAAAATATTATAGTTAGATTGGTGCCTTCACATTATGAGAGTCTAAACACACTTACCGTTCGCTTTCTCCTTCTGGTTTTTTCCTTGTACCATGTGCTTTACGGTCTTTCTAGCTAAAGGCATGTGGCGGGAACATTTCTTAAAATAGTTCCATGGTTATTCGGAACACATCGTTCGTATTCATTTAGAAATAAGCCGTAAAAGACAACCACCCTCGATGTCAAAAATGTGCATGACGTCAGAGACACATAAAAATAGAGAAACTCGAGTTACGTCCCTTTGCGTTAGCAAGCCTATCAAAAGTCGCAGAACCATTCTTCATTCAAGGACACATAAAATGCTGTACAATATTGTACCTACCTTAAATAGTCTTCATTTTCTTCCATCCCAAGCTAATCATGATCCCCCTATTCGTGACACTCTCGTTCCAACTTTCCTTCTGTGCAACACAAACAGGGTTTTCGATATTTTTGAATTTCGGCGTGTTGTTAAAATTAATTATTCATCGAGCCCGACTTCGATCCCGATGTTATTGTAGTATTGGTCGACAGTTTAAAAAAAATCTAAGTAATTTTCCCCAGTTTTCCAGTACAGAAAATGGCTAAGTTTCTCATTTTACCATTTTTCCAAAGAATTCTACTACTTTTCAAGTTAAAAAAAGGTCTAAGTCCAATTTTTTTTTTCAAATTCCAAAATATTCCAAAAACTTCCAGACACACATTTCGAGTTATGTGTGGAAATGATTGGAATTCCATGGATTTCCAAAACTTTTCCAGATCCTTTGGAAAATCTACATTAGGGCCATTCTTTTGAAATATCAATATCCCATTATCAATGAAAACAGATAATTAGAAAATTGAAATTGAGTTTTGTATAATCATTGTATGTTCTGCTTTAACATAGGTTTACATGTACCTGCTCAGAAAAAAATAACATATAATTAAGTTATTATTCCTTAAAAATTGAGAAAAATACATGAATTTCAAATCATTATTAGCAAAATTATTTACTAGTAAATTTACTAGTTAATTATTTGTCAATGTAGTAATATGTTAATTGAAAGGCACAGTGTTACATTTACGGCGGTCTTGGCTACACAAAGGGGATGCTTTCTCCTCCTTGTCACCTGATCCTATCTCTGGAATTTCCGGGGTCCCTGATCTACATATTTTTGTACTGTTTATCAATTTTATAAAGGTCGATGACTGTTCATTCTCTTTACCTTTTGCACGGTGAATAATAACTCATAATTAAAAGAAAAGTAGACTTCACAAGTCGGTACAGTGTATTTTTTTTTACATGTATTTTCTTGAAAAACAAATCTGACAGATAAAAGAAAATAATGGACATTGTAATGACAAGTTACTACAATGGTTTAGGAGTTAAACCGTTAAAATGAGTTTGAAAATGCTTGGCAACAGTTTATCTCATATTAATAATATGCTAATTGCATTTCATGTATTTGTTTATTTCTATGATTATTGACCAAATACTGACAAATTTGATCAAATCAATAGTATCATTTTTTAACTTTGTCATCTTGACATTAATAATAATTACATTAATTTTTTAAATACAAGAAATATGACCCACCCACCCATCAGAAGGGATACGCAAAAATGTCATTAATATTTTTTTTCAAGTAGATTTACAAAAAGTATGCGCTTTGATAAGAAAATCCTCTATGAAAAAAATCTGCGAATTCCATTTCTTGGATGATTATGAAAAGATGTGTGCTATTTTAAAATTTCTAATTAGAAGTATTGCTTATTGATTTTAATTATAATTAACGTTTAAGAAGAAACAAAACTAATTGGAATCATCAGATGTTTGTTCTCAAGCTAGACTTTAAAGTGGCAAGGTACTGAAACATTTATTAAAACTTTAGTTCGTAATTAGAATACAGAGAATATGTTTTGATATATGACAGATAACAAATGTAGATTTATGCATTATTTTTATGCTTAAAGCATTATCTTTAAAATAGGTTGCCAAATCTTCATGTTTTATTTAGGAAACGTTTCTTAACAGTTGGTAGCCCCGAAACAAATGTGTATTTTTATAGTCCTATCTATCATATTGTCTTGCAATCTTAACGTAGGTTTTCATTACGTCTAATTAGTTTTTTTTAAGGCAACAAAGAATTTAATTTTTAATTTGTAATCTATATCTTTCAATATAGAGAGTAAAACAGATTGCTGCTTTGATATTTAATTTCTCTCAATTCTTTACTTCTTTTAAATTTAGTGATTAGAAGACCAATTGAATACAAAAATTATCTCCTAATGACTGAGATTGGAGAAGCAAGTCTCACAATTTTATTGCAGAATCTGCAGGCAACTGTTAGTAACAAAATTAGTACTTTACCTAAAGTGAAATTATTGTGCTGGCACTCAGTGATGCGCTAAGGAGAGAAACACTCTACCTACAGTAATTTTATTTCACATAATGAATTAAAACTTTTTATATGTTATTTCTACATATAAGAATTCAATGAAACACTATGTTATGATAGAGAACGCTGTATATTAAACTCTTTTTTATCTGATAATATTGTCAAAATGAAACAAAAACCTCAAATATTCGATACAGTGTCTTTTAAACCAAACATAGGTTAGAGTCACAAGCATTTGAAACTTTTCTAAACAGTTTTAAGGAGGAGTCTTTCTACTAATTATACGTTTACATAAGTATTCCAAATATTTGCTTTCAATTCTAATTGGATACCTTAATGTCTAAAGTTACAAGATATTGAGCAATATAAATTGATCTACTAGAGATTTCTTCTTATTATTCTGTCTACTTTTTAAATCATATTTTTTGCGCAGAACTTTTGTTTTGAATACAGTTTCTCCTTTCACGCTAGAAACATGACACATTTTGAGAGATTATCTTTGGTTGTTTTATCTTTTATATTTTTAATGCATCCCATTGCCAGTGAGGCCCTTTCTGTTTTGAACGACAATTACATTTTCGTCGGCAATGAGGCGCTTAATAACCCCTTAATTATTAAGGAGATAATATATTTCAGAGTTCGACTTACATTGTACTGCTCTTCAGAGTGTTCAAAGACTGCAGAATGTAGTGGGTTTCGAACAAACTCCAAATTTTCCGTCTGTTCTCTCATCGGAAACGAGTTTAATGCCTCAGAACAGGAAACACAAAATGTGAAATACTTCAAGGTAAGTGCAAACAACACAATTTTTTTTTCTTTACAAGATGACTCAGAAAGAAAGCATTGAATAGACATCAAATATAAAGAAAAAATCCATTTAATGTGGAATATTTCCATTCTAAAATACATCTTGTTAGATATATTAACATTGACCATACATCATCTTGCTAGATATATTAACATTGACGAATATGAAAGAAAAATCAAATATCCATCTCCATGAAAAAAATTACTCTTCTGATAAAATTTTTGTAATAAACGAATTTTTCCCTTTTACTTTAGAGACACATTGGCAGACATAAAAGAAGCTTTTAAAAATACCACTGTCTTTTAAATACTGTACAACATAATATAGAAATGATTAAACTTTTCAGGAGGATGGGGGGTTAACAAGTTAACCATCACTTATAATTTTTTCTTTAAGACATGATATCTTGAGCTGACAACTATCAATTGGCAAAGAAAATTTCAATATATTTTAGTTTTAAACTTTGACCATTTTTATATATTTTTATATCGAGCTCTTCTTCTAAAGGACATAATAGTCTAAAAATGGCCAGGACCAACCAGCCCTAAAATCTTTCTGCATGTTTTATTCAAAGAATAATTGTGCAGTAAAAATCCCTTTCCTAAAAATTAAACAGTTTCGCTATCTTCAATGTTATTTAATATGCAAGAATTAGGTTTAAGCAACACACTTTGATAAACGACGCCTTTTTATATTTCAGAAAGTAACAAAATCAAGCATGCATGGTTTAGAAAGCCCTTCTCCAGAATCCTACACTTTGACCATTAGCAAAGGTACGCACTTTTCAGCAGAAGCTGAAATGACTTCAGAAAGTCGTTCAATATCAATAAAGACGATAAGCTTAACAGATGATGGTCCGGAGACAACAACAGAATCTTTGACTTCAACCGACAAAGAAACAACGACAACAGAATTTCTGACTTCAACCGACAAAGAAACAACGACAATCTCCGAGATGAAAACAACAGAATTTCTTACTTCAACCGACAAAGAAACAACGACAATCTCCGAGATGAAAACAACAGAATTTCTGACTTTAACCGACAAAGAAACAACGAAAACAGAATCTCTGACTTCAACCGACAAAGAAACGACAACAAAATCTCTGACTTCAACCGACAAAGAAACAACGACAATCTTCGAGATGAAAACAACAGAATTTCTTACTTCAACCGACAACGAAACAACGACAATCTCTGAGAGGACAACAGAACCTCTTACTTCAACATTCAAAGAAACTACGACAATCTTCGAGACGACAACAGAGGCCAATCAAAGTTCAAATGGTATTATATCAACAAACGCATATTTAACAACATCATATCAAATGACTGACGAGGTATCATCATATCCATCCACTGATCAAAGCAGTACTGTCATAAGCACTACAACTTTACACGGTAAAATTTCGAGAATAATATTGTGTTGGTACACAACAAAAAGTTTTTTTTTTCTTTTGTGCTGTGTGTAATTTCAGGATGTCTATAAACCATGTATTAAAATTGGAGATAATATTTGATGTGGAAAAATTATGGTCATGTTTATGCTATTGCAATTTCATTTAATATGAATTCATGTACATGTATGTATGACCTGTTTTAGAATGTTCAGATTGTGACTGCATTGGAAGAACAAATATCAGCAGTGGTGTGTACAATATAAATGTTAATGGAAACTCGGTCAGAGTCTATTGTGAAATGATTCATGGATATAATTGGATGGTAATCACTTTCTTTGAAACATTAAGAATGCTTTTTGATACAATTTCACCAATTATCTCTTAAACAAAATTTTCGAACAGTATTAAACAGTCTAATATATCTATTTTTCAAAGTTTTGGTTTAATACATTGACTCACATATAATATAGGCACTAGAACTCTTGACGTTAATGTTAAAAAATTCTTGCGCAATTTTCATCTAAAAGTGAACCAATTAATCTTTAGCTGTATGATTCATCGTTTTGTTTTGATATCTTAAAGGTTATATTTAGACGAACTGAAGGAAATGTGGCTTTTAACCGACTATGGACACACTATGAAACTGGATTTGGAAAAATTAATGGGGACTTTTGGATAGGTAACTTACAATACGTTACTAATTATCAAAAAAGAATAACTATCAAGCATAGTACAATGATACTAGTATATGTACGTGGTAAAACAAGATGTGTTTGTGAAACACTATGCGGCCGGCGGCAACAAAGTTCGAAAAAGCTATTTTTTTTGCATGTAGGTCATAGTCAAGGTCACAAGGTCACTGACCTTGATATCATTTGAAAGTACTTAAATAGTGGAGTATGCATACCAGATATGAAGTTTTTATCTCTCACGGTTCGAAAGTTATGGCGAAGGTTAAAGTTGACAATACACAGACAAACACGTCAGGCAAATTGTTAAATTAACAAAAAGACCAAAAGACAGACAGGACAAAAACAATAGACAGTACTTTATGATTTAATGTATTAAATTTTGAAAAAGGCTTTGTACGAGGGTTGTCCCAAAAAGTCGTAGACAATGGTAATAACTTTTTCAACACGCAACCAATACTAACCAAATTTTGCGTAGACATAATACATTCAATGTTCTTTAAAATTGTGAATTCTCAAATATATATCTTTCATATTAATTATATTGGGACGATTTATATGAAGGCCGATATGGTCTGTCGGCGCACGACCAAAATTCGGAATAATTTACGCATATAACTTTTAAATTTGTTTTTATTTCTTTGGTACTATGTAAAAGATTGAACTAAAATTTAAATCACTGAAACCAGAATCAAAATCTTAATAATATGTCAAAATTTCATATAAATAGCATTAGAAACAGACGACTGGTGGCATGATTTTCAAAGTGTTGTTCGAATTGAGATTGATGAAAATGACGCTGTCGAACGCGTACCCGGCGCACGGAAATGTAATAAATTGTGTTTGGCGTATTTTATATTCATCAGAGACGGGTGAAAAAGAGTACAGAAAGGACATTACACACTACATTTTAATAGAAAGGTTGTTTTTTAATAGTATGAGATTCAAAGATATTTTTTCCTCTATATCGAAAAAAATAGTTATTGCATGTAAAGTAGAGTGCTGACTGTTTAACGCAGACATTTGCGGGGAATGTTCTGGGCCATGAACGTCATCAAACAAGGTGTATTCTCTGCTGTCTAAAATGTAAGGTGATCTTTCAACTAATTTAATTTTGACTAAAATTTGAATCTACTTAAGAAAACGGACAGTAGTGAATTTAAATTATTCCCTTAGTCAAGTGATTTTTCACTATAAAAAATATTCATTTGGATGTTAATAGCCTCAGGTAAAGCAGAAAAAGGGCCCATGACGTTATGAGAGACGTAAATTACGCTTGCTTTCGTGCGCCGATGTACACTTACATTGTTTTTTTATTTTTTCATAATTTTCTTATTAAATGTGGTATCGTCATGAAACTTAAAATACATGATCATAGAATGTTACTCTTTGCTGTGAAAAGAAAAGACATTTGATTTAGCAAAGAGAAAATACACTATGTTCCCCGTCTACGACTTTTCGGGACAACCCTCGTAATTTGTGGACATTGCAATTACAGGATTAAACAATCTAAGCTATTATACAAATACTGGCTTAAGAGTCATGCGGATCGAAATGGAGGATGTTGATGGTTACAGAGGATATGCACAATACAGTATTTTCCTCGTTGGTGACATTTCAACAAAATACAAGCTTACTGTAGCGGGGTATGGCGGAACATCAGGCTGTACGCTTAATTATATATAATTAGTTTAAATTAATATAATTAAAACCACTTATTAATTTACTATAAACGTGTTGCGTAAGAAACACCAATGAATTAGCAATTTGACTCCAAATCATCAGAAAATGTTAGAACACACTTAATTTTGTTTTTACCTATAAAATGTAGATGATGCCTTCAGCTATCACAACAATATGAAATTTTCCACGAGCGACCAGGATAATGATGTTTCTCCAAATAAAAATTGTGCTTTTGTTAACGGAGAACCTTGGTGGCATAGAGACTGTGCCAGGATGATCTTTACGAGAGACAATGTCAATGAACTTGGATGGTACTATTGGGACACGGGAAGCTATAAGCCACTAACGAAGATAACCATGATGGTTCGGAAACCAGATATTGTTGATACATCAGGTAAAAATAAATTACTTTCAATTTGGTGTACAGAGATTGCAATCAATTTTTTTGATAGATTGGGTGCAAAAACTTGTTCATCAAAACTTTACTTTAAAATCACATACATGTATACCCATGGGGTAAATTTTCCGTGGTTTGATGAAAACGTTTTAGTTTGGTTGGATTTCATTTCGAGGATAGAGGATTGTAAAATAGAAAGAATTGTGAAAATATTTTTTGTTTAAACATAAATTTGTAAGTCTCTTTAAAATATCTCGAAAACCATGAAAGTTAAACCTTATGAAAAACCGTGATCAAAGTCATGTAAATTGTTAAAGATAAAGAAAACGAATATTGGTCGCTTTATTTAAAATCTATAAACAATAATACTTGGCATAAATCACAGGCCTCTGGAAATTCAAGAGGTCATATCATTTTCCTAAGAGAGGTACGAGGAAAGTTTTATGGGAATTTGCATCTACTATCAATTTCCATCACTACAAAGATATCTTCTTAGATCTTTTAATGAGTAAAAGTCGTGGACATTTGTGTAATAGATCTTAATGGGCTATGTAAGACACAAGACAATGCTGTAAATGTTGTTCTTGTGAATTTCTCTTGTCAATTTTAATCAATATTTTTTTAATACTTAGAATATATAAAGAGAAAATGAAAAACTCTAAAAAAAAAAATAAACTAGTGAGGATCGCAAACAAAAATACGTAGAACATAAAAATAAGCGGGAACAAGACTTAACAGTAGCATCTCTTTTAAGTAGGACACAAGGAAAATCCTCCGGATAAATGAAGCAATCGAGTGCTAAAAAGCATCTTGGATTATATGAATATTAATATTAACTTTTTGTTAACAAATTCCGTTTAATAGGTGCCATTTTATTATTGTTGACGACCGGTAAACAAGACTCCAATATATATATTTACTCAATCATCTTCATATTTTACAGGATGTTCAGATTGTAACTGCGTTGGGAATTTGACCAGTGAAAGTGGGGTGTATAAAATAAATGTAACTGGAAAGCCAACCACAGTATATTGTAAAATGAAAGACGGGTATAATTGGATGGTACATGTCTATACAAATGATAAATTCTGGAAATGTCATTTAGTTACTTATTTATAAAAAAGTATATTTAATTCAAATTCAATTTTATTAATTTTTTCTTTGCATTTGTAAACAGATAATGATAAATGAATAACATACATGTATAATATTAATCTAAGGTTATCTTCAGAAGAACTATTGGTGATGTTCCCTTTAACAATGTTTGGTCGAGTTATGAAAATGGATTTGGAAATAAAGATGGTGATCACTGGATAGGTAAAGCTACATGTCAATAAAATCAATAAACTGTAATGATATACGAGGGCCGTTCAAAAATTACGCGGACTGTGTTATTATTTACTCTTACAGACGTCATATAGTTATGAAAATTCACAGAAATATGTATCTTGAAGATTCCAATAAATTTTGGCCAAAATTTATGTATTTTAAAAAATTATCTACGACATTTCTCGGTATGTTGATATCGCTGATGAAGAGGTACGGAGCACGACAAAAAATTTGAAGCAAAAGCATGCGGAATCCAAAATTTAACTCATTATTTTTCGATAACTCGCGATATTTTTCCATGATTTTCTCAAATATTTCTTTAAATTGTTCTATTATTATGTATTTAGATTTCTGACATGATATTTGAAGTACTAACAGAAATATAGTGATTTTTCTCCGATGCGATTCCCGTGAAAACGACTGTGAAAATGATGTCTCCTGAATTGACGGCGCACCACACTTTTGGTAAATTGCGTGTGATGCTCGAGATATCGCCAACATAGATCCAAAATATGCATAATTGAACATCTAGTAAACTGGAGTATTTGTGACATTCGTCCACAAATACCAAAATGAAACTTTAGACCGTTAGACCTCTGTGAAGAGGCTATACGGGAGGACGGAAAGACGATTATCGACGAAAACTTTATCCGGACTGTAAAGAACGTGATTGAGACTCACCGATATCATACTATATCTCATAAATACCTGCATTTTTTGGTTTTAAAACAAAAAAAGGAATATTCTTTACTTGTTTAAAAGATATTAAGCTTGACAAGAAATGGAGTTTGGATGTTGAGTAGATAAGGTAACTTAAACTGTACAGGTACTCTTGGGAAATGTTGAGAAAATGAAAGCTAAATCACACATTTTTTTTATAATGCCTGTGACGTCGAAGATTTTGCTGCTCCGTGACTTAATGATATGTCCTGATAAATCACCCAAAATCGATACCAATTTATAACAATTTGATTCGAAATTTAGAAGACCATATAAGTAAAGATTCTTTTATATTATGTATGACATTGTGCCCGATTATGTCGTCAAATATTTTTTCTGTGCAACAAGTCCGCGTAATTTTTGAACGGCCTTCGTACTTATTGAGAATTAAAAAAAAGACAATTACCAAAAATGGCAGAAATTTGAAAAATGTAACGAATTTCCAATATAACTATAATATATCTATATATTTTTGATGTTGTAAATCACGGTGATTTTTTATTTTAAAAATATTATGAAATGGTAAATCGTTATTTCAAAATTACTTTTTTGTTAGTTAAACTAAATGCATGAAAATTGTATATATTTTCATATTAACCTATTAGAAGATTCGCCTTGTAAATTTTAATAAATTTTAATTTTTTTCAAGATCTAGTAAGAATTTTTTCAAAGTTAACATTTTTTACTTTATCTATATAAAAAATAAACATATTTTTAGCAAAACTTTTAATAAAAATAACAGAGGGTCAATGAGACCTTAAATGAAATTACGCTAATTTGGAAAAGTATGATGGTATTCTCATTATAAACTGTCGTATGAAATGATATTTATAAGAACATTTGAAGGTGATGTCCCTTATTGAAAAAAAATTATACCTTTTTGAACTTTTGGGCATATCTTTCAGAAAAGCTGCCGATATTAAATTTCATTTTTTATCCCACTACCCCCCCCCCCCAACTAATAATAATACACGATCAATAAGCTTATATCGTGTACATGTAGATTATGGTTGTACACACATTAAATTGAGTGTTACTTCTAATTCCCTAACCCACTAACCCCCATATTATATACTAAAATTCTAACTTGAAAAAGTTCAATTTGTTGTAAGGGTTAAGCACAATTAACCATTTTACGTCATCCGTATGGAGCAGGGTAAGAATTGAGTGTAACTTTTATTTCCCTAACCCTCTAAACCCCCTTATTATATACTAAATTCTAATTTGAAAAAAAAAATCAATTTGTTATCAGGTTTAAGCATTATATTTACCATTTTACATCATCCGGATTGAAGAAGGCTAGAATTGAGTGTAACATTTAATTCCCTAACCCACTAACCCCCTTATTACATGTATATACAAAAATTCTAATTTGAAAAAGTTCAATTTGTTATCTGTTTAAGCATAATTAACCAATTTAAGTCATCCAGATGGAACAGGGCTAGAATTGATTGTAACTGTCCATTCCCTAACCAACGTAACCCCCTTATTATATACTAAAATTCTAATTTGAAAACAGTTTGTTATCAGGTTTAAGCATAATTAACCAATTTACATCGTCAAGATGGGGTAGAGCTAGAATTGAGTGTAACTTTTAATTCCCTAAACCACCAAACTCCCTTTTTATTTACTATAATTCTAATTTGAAAAAGTTTAATTTGTTATCAGGTTTGAGCATAATTAACCATTTTACATCGTCCGGATGGTGTAGGCTGAGGATTGAGATGGAGGATGTCCTGAGTTATGTAGGTTACGCCCGGTATAGGACCTTCCTGGTAGGGGGCGCTTCTGAGGGATATAAACTGACTTTATCAGGATATTCGGGCACTGCTGGGTGTAAGTAAATGAATTTTTTACTACATAAAGACGTCCCAATGCAATTTAAATACTAATTCAATGACACTTCTTCGACAGATCACGAACATTTCTCTCAAAATTGCTAAATTGTCATTCAAACCAGTTGATGCCTTCAGCTACCACAACAATATGAAGTTTTCAACGAAAGATAATGACAATGATGAGTCGGCAACAACTAACTGTGCCTTAGAGTATGGTCATCCGTGGTGGAATCGAGATTGTACACGTCTTAAGTTTACCAAAGACGATTTTAACAACCTCGGGTGGTACAATTGGTATACTGGAAGTTATGAGCAGCTTACGAAAATCACAATGATCCTTCAAAAAGCAGTCAATTGATAAACAGAAGTTTAGGTTGCATTGCTATTTAAAAGCGACTGTGAAGGCCAATAAAAATGTTAACTGTTTTACGAACGAACATTAAGTATAAGTAATTATGAAAATAGGTAGATGTACATATAGCTTTTCTTATTTTTTTCGTTTTTATGTTTTACAGTCTTTAACTATAAAATCACGTATTAGGGTGAACTATAATTAACAATAGTAAATATTTTGTCAGGGTGTCTTTATTCAATTATAAAAAAGCTCTTGATCCATTGTTCGAAATTTTTATCAAATCCATCTGTAACTAAGATGGAATAAATTAATTTTTTTAAAGTATATAAATAAACTTATATTGCTTTTTGTCGTACGTTACTCGATTTTTTTCTTTTCAACAGATCGTGCTCATAAAACATGTAAAATGTAATGTCTCAGGGAAAAATCCTTTAGTGCATAAATTTTAAGAAATGATCAATGAGTTTCTAATGGGCAAAATTTAAATTTTTTTTTAATATCAGCAATTCTGCGAGCATATGTCCTTTTTTATTTGCCTTATTGCTTTTTTGTTAAATTCTACCATATGTTTGGCAATTAAAGTATGAATTCGAAATATAAATATAATAGGAAAACACCGTTCTAAATCTGATTTAAATTAATTAAATGAATACTTTGCACATTTTTCATGAAGAATTTGGTAGGGGGATATATCGACCTTAATTTAGAAAAAAAATCCTTGAGCAGTTTACGTGCTTCCAATGTTTCTATGTTTGCAATTGACTATAAAAATTTTCAATGGATAAACAGACAAAAAATGGTAAAATGTTAGGCAGATAAAGATAAGATAATTCCTTTTAACCTTTAAACGTATTTGGGATGAGGGATTGGGGATTATAACTGAACTCTTCTTGGTAAATAAAAAAAGGATTTTTGTGTAATGTTCTTCTAATAAATTTAGACGAAACAACACGGACCTACAAAGAGGTATGCTACCCTATTAATCGCTTTTCCTTTTCGATATTATCGAATATCAAAGGGTTAAATAAACTCGTGAGAACTGGAAATAATAAAAATATATAAATGAAAAATATCAATCCCATTAAAAAGTATTTCAATATACAGCCTATGTGCTCAATATTTTTTAAATGTCCACAATTGCTTTAATGATGCCTTGACCAGATTAAGGAAAAAATATTTACCAATTAAAAATCACACGATAAAATATTCAAAATAATTGTGTCCATTTTAATTGGATACATTTTCAGGGTGTTTGAATATAATGAGCAAAATGTATTGATTACTATTATGATATGTTTTATTTCTTCGTCAAATGATTTTTGCTGCATGTTTGTTAAGCTTGATTTTTGTATAGCGATTCGTCTCACTTATATTTAAAGATATGCCCATGAAATACTTTCAGAGTTTATTATTTGCGATACTTTTGCATATATTTGTGCAAGAGTATGTCAGTAAATCTGTTTCTGTTGTCGAAGACAATTACTTTTTTGTTGGAAATGCTGCAATTGATGTCATTTTTATCATAAACGAAACAATCACAAACGGCTTTCCATTAACATTATACTGCTCTTCGGCGTGCTCAAAGAATTCAGAATGTCGTGGATTTCGAACAAATTCCAATTTTGCCGTTTGTTCTCTCATTGATAATGAATTCAATGCTTCAGGACAGGACAAAACAAACGTTCAGTATTTCAAGGTATGTAGAACAAATTATTTTTAGCACAACTTTCGAATTCACAATAAGGCTAACTGCTGTATTTATGTTACGAAACACTTTATAGACACTAAGCATATTCGAGACTCCATGAACTTATATGCTTGACAACGTTACACTTTTGTTAATACCTTTTTTCTCTCAAATAATTCTGAAAGATTTTTTTTTAATTTCGGGTCATATGACATAATTTGTACTTTAAACTCTAAAATGTATGTAAATTGATCATTGCATGTTCTATATACATATGTAGTATACGGGTAAGTACTTTGTTAATTTTCAAATTTTCAGAAGTAAAACCTTATGCAAACTCTTTATTTTTTCTACTGTTCTTCCATGTTTCTTTCAGCAGCTTTGAAATTCCAAATTTATTCAATAAGAAAAATTGAATCAATACGCTTTAATATTTTATTATATAGTAGCTTTTTAGTCCAAAGTTATCTAATATCAACATGAAATTTAGATGAATTTTAATCCTTTTGTGTTCAAAAGAATGATGGTTTTACCAAGATATTTTTCATATATAATCTATATTTTGATTTCTCTTACTTCATTTTTCGGATGGTTTATTTCGCCAAATCTTTACACAACCAAATGTATTACATTTACACTGCTTTATCAACCAATGCTTTCACATTACAATACATATGAATGAAACCACAATAAATATTTTTGCATATAAAACACAATAATGAGGTTCTCATCAGAAAAAACCATAATTGATTTTTGCGAAATCAAAAAAAAAAAAAAAAAAAAAAAAAAAAAAAATTGTAAAAACAGTGTAGTCTAATGGGAATAGCTTCTTGACATACTTAAGGAAAGATAGGAACGCGCGTATTTATATATTAAAACATTTACCCAATATCTTAAACACGTCAAATATCATCAATAATTTAGATAACTCAATGAGTCAAATATAAGGGACTAGGTAAATTCCTCATTAAATCTATAACTGGAGAGGGCAGCTTTTCTTACTTCATGATTTCTAATTTTCAGAGAGAAACATCAACACATTTCGAAATAGAGGAAATGTTAAGGCCAAGTGAAATTAGTTCAACAGGCACCCACTTAGTAACCTCAGTCGAGAAGGAAACGACTATTTTATACAATACAACTAACGAGTTATCAACATTGTCATCAACTGCAGCACAGATTATTGAGAACAGTACACTCACATCAGGTAAGGCTGGAATTAATTTATCGTTAATTGAGTGTTAAGGACAGATCACTCTATATATATAATCATTTACTCAAATCATTTAAGATAAGTTAACGTAATTGCAGACCGGAGGACCGGGCTGCTCTATACATATAAGTTTAAGTGTTGGTGTATGGGGATTGGGGTGGGAGTAGTTACTTAGAATTAAAGGTTTTCTAAACATTGAAAAGTTTGGTAATCAGAATGTTCTTTCCTTTAATAAATTACGAGATACATAAGATATTTACTTCCATAAAGTGAATCTGTAAAAATATATATGTCTTTCATAATTATTTAATATATAAAGTTGCTTATCATTTACTATCGAAAAAACGACAGGTCCCTTTTTTAGAACATCAAATTTTACTTCTCGGATATAAACGTACTCTGCACAGTTCGTGTTTTATATTCTAAAATTAAAAATTAATACATTTTTAAATGTAGGTGATTCGTGTGTCTAACTTCAATTTTTATATTTTATGCAGCCAACATTTACTTGAGGAATTGATCAAATTCAAAATGGAATCGTTTTTGATTGATTTTTATCCGACTACAAGTTTTCAAAATATTCGCGACTATCGTCTCCATCAATTAGACGCATGCCTTTTCACACATATCGAAGCGGTTTGATGATCAAGACTCATTTTCATTGTTTACTTTATATATTTTCCGGGCGATAATTGATGGTTACATCAATGTTTTCTTGTTTATATATATGTAAGTTTTATTTGATTTTAAATTGCAGAATGTTCTGATTGCAAATGCATTGGAGAAACAAACAGAGATAGTGGTGCTTACAACATAACACTCGATGGAAACTTGAACACCATCTATTGTGAAATTGATCTCAGATTTAACTGGATGGTAAAATATTTCATGAAATTGTGAAAAATTAGTATATTACGTATATTTCATTAAAAATAATTTAACTACTTTGATTTTGGTCTTTTATTTTAACAAATCATAAGGAAAACTTTTGTGTTTTACTTAAACGTCAGTGATTGAGAGATTTGTCGCTGTTATTGCAGAAAAATTTGCAATCATATGTAATATCTTAAAGAAATTCAGGTTCTATTCTATGAACGTTTGATTTTTGATGACTTAACAGGTTATCTTCAGACGTACCCTAGAAAATGTTGCTTTTAACAGAATATGGGATGATTATGAAAATGGTTTTGGAGACATAAATGAGGACTTCTGGATTGGTAATGTGCAATCTCCTTTATTTAACTGAATCTTATTATGTTCCCCAAACGAAGTTGGGGAACATATTGTTTTTACTCTGTTTCTTCTTCTTCTTATTATTATTATTAAGGTCTTCCGTCTTCACGGAAGACCTTATAGTGATTCTATTATTTCTTATTAGGGTCTTCCGTCTCCAACGGAAGACCCTTCTATTATTCTATTGTTTCTTTTTCACTATTATTATTTTTTTTTTTTTCGTCCAAATTTTGTGCAGACGATTTCTAAGAGATGCATGGACGGATTTCTTTGAAATTTTCAGAGATAATGTATCATGATCTAAACTTGATCCATTTTTTTTAATTTTTGAAAAATCACTTCCGGTCGGAAGTTATCGACCTTTAATCGAATTTTTAGTGACCATTTTGTCGACATAAAAACTCAAAAAACGACAAAAGCTAGAATGTTGTCATTTTCAGGACTAATAGATGACATGTTGTAGTTTTGCACCTATACTTTCAAATTTTCGTCAGTGCTTCCGGTCGATACCGGAAGCGAATTTAAAAAACTGCAATTTTTCAACTTTTTTGTTTTCCAATATTTTTCTTTGATATTAGACATCTTAAAAGTGACTCTTTTGCGAATGTGAAATATGTAATTTGTTTTAGAATCGACAAAGGCAATCTCGAGATTTTCGTATTAAAAAATTTGAAGCGGTGTTTTCAATGGCTGAATGGTTAACGCGTCGGATTGTCACGTGGGCGACCCGGGTTCGCTCCCCCGAATGTCCAATTTTTTTTATCACTTTTTCTGCAAGATTTTTCGTTTTTTACTTCAAAATCGGACGGAAGACCCACTCGTTGCTCACAACGAGATCATATCTAGTTATTATTATTACTCTTTTTTTTGACAAAATTTTGTGCAGGCGATTTCTCAAAAACTATTCAGCGG